GGAGTTTACGAAGACTGTCTCTTCTCCAAAATCTAAACTGGGAGTATTCGTCTGGGTCATGCATTGTATGATCGCGCAATTGAAGACATCATTAGCTTTCACAACGTATTGTTTTGAACCAATCAACATGATGTCTACACCGGCATAATGGTTTGTTTTCCTTACGCATTTGGAAGAATAAAGTGTTATTCAGTTTTTTATCTTCTCTCATTTATGGCTTGAACTATAATACCAAGGTAGACAAACTAGTCCGTGGAGCTCGACTTGAGTTGTATGACATTATTATGTAAACTCTTTACTCTTGGACATTTACACCGTTTAAAATTTTATAAAGCTCTTGAATTTTGTTTGACATTTATTTGATTAACTTGATTTTGACCCGCGACAACCGCAGGATAAATGATTAAATATGTTGACCAATCAATTTTAATAGTTAAACGTGTATGACAAAGAATATGATTTCTAATATTTAGGAAGGTTAAAAATGTATGTATTGTGCATAAATATAATAAAGTTAAATTTTGATCAAGCATATCTTGATGCCATTAGATTTAATATTTCATGTGTAAAATTGATTAAAACATATGCAAGCGTTATATATTTTAAATGTAAAATTGATTTTTACTGTGATAAAAAAAATTGGTAAGTCTAATAATACATTTAGATGGGGTTACATTTGTAAAACATGTATTAATGACTTTATATTATAAAATTAATAAAAATATGTAGAGATTTCTAAAATGACATATAGTTTTAGTTGAAATATTTTTATTTGTTAATTTAAATGACTTGTCCCTTAAATCGCTCTTCGATACATATGATTTTCTAGTTAGTGTTTCTTCAATTAATATATACTTCCTCCGTTTCAAAATATAATATGTTTTGGATTTTTTTTTTCAAAATATAAGATGTTTTGACAATCTTAGGTGTGGAAGCTGAATTCCGCACTAAGTATTTGTATGTGAATTCGGAGAAGAAACTTTGGTCCTAAGAAAGATCTATAAATTCAACGATCAAAGGAAAAGTAGAGTGAAACTAGATTTATATTGATATGAATCGAATATATAATAAGAGCTCGAATGAGATGTGTTACAAGCTGGTAGTGTAGTGTTTTAGCTCTCGTGTAAGTAAAAGTCCGTCGAAATCCGCTTAGACTTCCTGTATTTATAGCTCCTTTAAGTTCGTCAATCCAGCTCCACGTACCTAGGGCGGTTCCGCTTATCTCGTGTATGTCCTTAGCATATTCTCTGAAAATCTCGCTCCTTTGACTGTGCTAACCTCCCTGTTGACTCGTTCCTATCTCTCAGCACTTACCTTGTTGACTTGGTAACCGTAGAACTGACTCTGGGTTCTCAGGACTTGGTCGGGCCTTAGAGCTGAACCCTATATTTCATCTGATAATGGGCCTCAAGCCCACTGTATTTCTTTAAATGACACTCGGGCTTTTAGTGGACCGGATTCTGTGACGAATCTAGCTCCAACAGTTGGCCCCCAGCCCATTAAGTATTAAGTAATGATTACTTGATGGCGGTTATTCATCATTATCTCCTTTTGCCAGGCTGCGTTCTCGCACATCCTCGGGACTGAATTATCCCTGATCCAGCGGCTAAGGACACAGGAAAGTGAAAGATCTGGGCTGCAGTTGATAATAATTATTACAGCATCCAGACCTAGTCACACTTTTACCGTGGACCCTACTACTACAACCGTTCCTCTTCCCAGAATTAAACTGGTTTTAACCTCGAATTTCAGTTCCGATCTCATTTTCACCTCTCTCTCTCTCTCGCTTCAAAAGTCCTGCTACTCTCTTACAACTTCAATCAAATTGTTCTCCTTCCAAACCTTTTCTGATATCATGTCTTCTTCTGCTCCTGCTGCTCAATTCAGCCCCTACGAGCCGTCGCTGATCACATTGGAGGAACTCTTCGAACTCCGTAGAGCTTTTGCTATTCCTCCTTCAATCGAAATCTGTCCGCCCACGGGGCGGGACTCACCAAAAACAGTTGAGCAGGGGTGGTGTTGCGCCTATCTGGGTTACTTTCAGGAGGCGGGTCTGAGCTTTCCCATCCCCACCTTTTTGATCAGGGTTTTAAGGTTCTTAGGGTTGGCCTTCCCTCAAATGGTCTCCAGCTTCGTCCGCCACGTGATCGGGACATTCGTCTGTTTTTTTAAGAACGGGATGGACCTCAGCCCCGATTAATTTTTTTACTTCTACGTGGCTCGGAGCAACTCCTCTCTGCCAAATACCTTTTACCTCGCCCCTAGAGAGGAAAGAGGGGTTGTAACAGTCCCCAAGAAATATTCACAGCAGGACGCCAACTGGAACAGTAAGTTCTTCTTCTTCCAGGTTTTAGCGGTGTCAGTGTTGTCGCTTGACTATTTTGGCCGAGTTCCGACTCGGTTTTCTTTTAAAACTAGTAAGCCCTAACGCATTCCATCAATGTATTCTTATTGTACTGTATTTTACCTTTGTTCATACCGACTTAATCCTTGGTTCAGGTAATACTTCTTCCGCCGCTCTACTGCGGTGTCCTCCAGGCTAATGTTGCTCCGTGCGAGGGACACGTGCTGGACTTCCTTCGATTCTCTCCGAACAAATAGGCCTATTTCTAGCATGCGCACCTCTGCGCTGAGCCGACACAAGAGGAAAATCTTCTTCCTCTCCCGGCCCCAGCCCAAGCTGCCGCCGGGCGTGGACCCTATGTTGGGTCTCCCCTGGCCGTTCTGTCGGTTAGCCAACAGACCCGCTTGAGGGCCGTAGCTGGCAACGTGGGGACCTCGAACTCCACTCGGCCTTCCTACCATCTGGGTAAGAGGCCAGTCCATTTGGTGACCCTTCCCGCTTCTGTCGACCCCAGTTATTCGTCTACCCCTCTAGAGGAACGCCTAAAGAGGAGGAGGAGGAACCCGCCGGGGGTCAGCGCTCCTCTCACCATTGGTGGCGCAAGTTCCACATCTACACCTAGAGGACGCCGTTCACTTCTGGTCGACTCAATGGAGAGCTCCTCCGTGAGGGGAGGCGGCTCTACAATTGGGTACCCGGTCTTCTCCGGTAGTGTTCATGAGATCACCCATTTTGCCTCTTCGGGCCCCGCTGCTCCAAATCTACAGGGAGGCGGTCTCTCTGGCAAAGAGTCCTGCTGACAACAGCCCTTGGCTCGGGGGACTTCTCCCGTGCCAGACAATGCTGAGGAGGTCTCTCCCGCTCGTGCCACTGAACTGAGTTTGAGCCCCGCGATCCGAGTGCAGCCTCTTCGCTCTCTCGCCTCCTCTTCACAAGAGCACACCACCAGGTTTCGCGAAAAGTGGCTTGGAATAGCTTGATCCTGGGAGGAGGTGAGCCTATCTATTCGGCTCCCCAATTCTATATCTTTTTATTTTGCTTGCATGGGCATACGTGTACACCCCCTCTTTTATATATTATTTCCCTGATTTTTAGTCTACCAGAGCCGCAAACGCCTTTGGGGCTGACGCCGAGCATCGTCTCTGAGAGGCCCCTTCCTTGGAGGAAGTGGAGGGTTTGAGCGCCTCAGGGCCATGGAAGGCCGCAAGGTAGAGCACGAGCGGCAGACCCAACTCCGTGTGGAGTGAGACGGCCGAGGCGATGCGGGCTCTACAATGTTTTCGGCTGCTGCTAATGACCTGATTTCCTTCCTCAGGTCTGAGCTAGGCCGTGTGGCAGCGACAAAAGAAGCAGAAGTGGCTGCCGCGGTTAGGTCAGCACG